AGTCTTATCTACTTTATCAGCTTTTGTCATTGTTCTGTCCCTTAATTCAAATACATCACTTGTTCTGATTCCCTAGTGCTGCTCTGACAAGAAAATCCCACCAATGGGATGGTCTTAACCAACAGGAGTTTATTCTTACAATTTGGAGGCTTTAAGTCCAAGTTCAAAGCCCCTCAGCCTTGGGCTTCAGCTCTGCCTCCAGCTCCCAGCGCACTGGAGCTACAGGCGTTTCTTCACTCAGACAGCTGCTAGCTGCTGACGCTGCTAAGCCCAAGTTTGACAAGTACCAAGGCACAGTCCCGATGTTACCAAACCACATGGCAGGCCATTAATTTAAGTCCATTATAAGTCCCAAGGTAGGCAGAGCATGGCAGGCTGCTGAACAATGACATGGCTACATGCAGGGTTCAAGGTGCCATAAGCTAGAGACCATTCTCAAAATTTCTCCTTATATATAGGAAGCAGACCACATCCCAAAGGCTACTCAGCTGCTTGTGGTAGAGCTCACCATGGAGTTGATTGCCAGTCTCATGATGGGGAATAACTACCACCAGCTGCCCAGCCACTCAACCAGGCCCAGCCAAGTTGACACACAAACATAACTACCACATCACTCCTTTAAAAACCCCAAACACTTACTTGAGAAGTTCCATCTTGAGTTTTTGTTCATAGGTCTCCTCGAGAGTCTTTATACTCAGCTCCCGTTTCCTGAGTGCATCATCAATGCATTTATTTTTTTCTTCTTGTAGCTTCCGGGATCTGAAATAAGCAAAAAGGTAGACAGCAAATAAAAACACAACACTTGCCCTGAGTCACTCTTTGGGCCTACAACTGAACTTACTCCCATGGCTCAACTCTGAACCAAACAAGATAGGCCTAGGAGCTGAACAACTACACCAGGCAGATGCATCCTTAGAACACTCAACCATGGGAGGTCGGAAGGGCAGCATTTGCACAGGGAGAAAGCCAGACAGGCAGGAATGCATAGGTAAAAGAAGGACACAGGGAAGGGATAACCACAGGAAGGGGGTGGGAGGAGAGCAGTGACATTGTGGGCATTGTAATCAGTGTCACAAAACAAAAGGTGTATCAACTATTGAATGTAAAACGAATCTGCTTTGTACAACTGCACCCAATTCACAATTAAAAAAATCTGAGATAACTAATTTCGAAAAAAATAACATTTGTTTTTAGTTCAATAATCAACTGTGATTTCACCACCACTGCAGGGAAATCAAAGGTAAGAGCGGAAGTGCCTCATCTACTTTCGGAAGTGACCCAGTACCGGTGGATCTGCACTAGCAGATGGAGCTGTTCAGTAGCACCTGTCTCCAGGGGGTGTGACAGTCAAGACCAAAATAGCTTCTGAGGGAAGGTAATTAACATTTAAAAATGGTCACAGGTGAGGGATAAGTGGTCCTAATCAATTCAGGGCAAAAGAATGATGTTATTAGTTACAAAATTACAAACAAAACTTTAGTGTACTGATGTATTTGTTTCTTCTGCATTATTGTTTCTATATGTGGAATTTAATTCATTAGCTCACAGATGCTAAAGTTAAAACATTCATTTTTGTCATTTAATAATCTAGTAATTAAGTATTGAAACAGTGCCGAAAGAGAGCAAACCTTGGATGGAACAATCAGGACTTCCAGATACCAAGGAATGCAATGGTCTCCACAGTGAGACCTTAAGCCAACCATGAAACCAGTCCAAGAGCTGGGAATTGGGTTCACAGGTGCATAGACCAAAGCATAATAAGTATAATTGCGACAGAACACGGACTAACCAGTCCAAGAAAAGGACAGAGGCTCTGTGTATGAGCTCCCTCTGCTGTCTATACTCTGTAAGCCAGCAGAGCAACAGACCATTTGGTTCACGTAAATGGTTAGCAGAAGGGGAAGTGGAGGCAAGGAAGTGATCATATAATCATGAAGTATCACTCCCCAAATTTTGTTCCTTCTCTTTCCTCTCTCTTAATAAATTTGCCTCTTCAAGACTGCCACAAAGAGAGTGAGGTGGACAAAAGCAATCAAACCAAGTGAGTTAATATAAATGAAACAACAAATGCATGAAGATGAAAGAAGATTCCTGGATGGGAGGAGACTGCAATTCATAGAAAATTCAAAATGGGAACGAAGGTTTATTCCACAAACTATAGACTGGCGAGCTTGACGGATCCTGGCTGAGAAGTGAAGGAGGAACATATGTGGGAAGTCAGAAGGTAAGTAACATGGGCCAGCCAAGAGACAACAGTTCCATCGGTCAAGCCCAGCGAGAGCAGGGCAGGGTGGGGCGGCAAGGCTGCACTCTGGAACCAGTTCCTGTACACACAGGCAACTACGTGATTGGAACTGCAATTTGCTATACCATTCCTGGCCTTCAAGTTGTTTGTCTGGTCTTATTCGTAGCCTGATGATAGCTTGTCATTCTGCTTTTCATCTGAATACCCAAGACTTTCAAAGCAAAACCCCAACCTGTCTTTCCTATACCTTTGAAAACCAAGTTAGCAACCAAAAAAACCAAATCTGTTGTCGTGGAGTCAATTCTGACTCATAGCAACGCTGTAGGACAGAGTAGAACTGCCCCATGGGGTTGTCCAGTGTAATCTTTATAGAAGCAGGCAGCCTCATCTTTCTTCCATAGAGTGACTAGTGCGTTTGAACTGCCGACCTTTCGTTTAGCAGCCGAGCACTTAACCACTGCACCACCAGAGCTCCTCAAAGCTAGGTGACACCACCCTTCATAGCCAAGGACTCTGTGTGATAATATTTAATCTGTACTCTTTAAAACTAGGAAATAGTTATAACCACGGACTCTACTTGATAACTAACCTTAGAATGTCTACACCCACGTTCAGTAATGCTCTTTCATCTGATTCATTCGGAACATCCAAAATGGACACGTATTACTTACAATTCAAACGCTTCAATTCTTTGCTTTAGTTCTCCTTCTCTGCCTCTTAGCAGATCTATATCCTTTAGTAGAACCTGCCTTTGGGCATAAATTTCTTTTGTTTCCATCTGTACAGGAAAGCATTAATTTTTAGCAAACAAGGAAAATGAAACAGACATGAACTAATATCCTACCTTCTAAATCTGCCCCCCCCAAAAAAAATCCAAGTTCAGGCATTCAGGAAAACAATTTAACTTCTCAAAGGTTCCGATTCAAGGTACATTTTTGGCCTGTTCTAGTTTCACAAAAACTTACCCCTCCCCTAGTGGCTATCATGTTATATTACCCTGTATGGCTATCATATCATGTTCTATTACCCTGTATTCCTAACTTCCTGTCTAATTATTTTATTTGCATCTCTCAGACAACTTCACATTTCACCAAGTTCTTCAGCAAGAAAAAATTGAAACAAAATGTGGTTTCAGTAAGAAAATGCCACAGAATAAAGGCTTCAGGGTTCTGATGGTGGCGTCCACATACTATGGTCCACAGGTCCTTCTGGTTCAGGGGCAGCAGGTTATCATGAATGCAGAATGACCATGCTTCTGTTAAGTGTGATCACGGAGCCAGGGTTGACAGGACACCTAGCACATGGCAAGCATCGGTCTGGGAGCTGGATGTGAAAAGGTGAGCAGATACAGTCCCTACCTTTACCTTCCCCCTCTGAAAAAAAACAAAAAAACACTGCAACTGAGTTGATTCTGACTCATAGCACCCACATGGGACAGAGTAGAACTGCCCCATAGGGTTTCTAAGGCCGACAATCTTTACAGACGTGGACTGCCTCATTTTTCTCCTGCAGAGTGGCTGGTGGGTTTGAACTGTCAACCTTTTGGTCAGCAGGCCAATCAATGCTTTAACCACAGCCCCACCAGAGCTCCTTCCTCACCTTTAGGGAGCCCACAATCCAGTCAGGGGGAGAGAAACACACATAAGACTACACTAAAACATGATCATTTAATAACAGAAACATAAAACCATGTGGAGGAACAAGGCCTGAGTAAGTCAGCCAGTGGGAGCTGTGGAAGGTATCACCAAGGAAGTGATGTTTGAGATGGATCTGGAAAAACACTATGGTTCTCTCAGGGAGAGAAGGGGAAGGCATTCCAGGTGGAGGAATGGAGGCAAGGGGCTTTTCATGAGGGTGAATGAATAACCTCAGGGGCTCTTCTCTAAAACCTTTAGACAGCCCGTTAACTAGATGGGGATTCGGGTCTGCCCACTGGTGGGTCTGACCTACTCAGTCACTCATCTTGAGGACGAAACTGTTCATCTAAACAAAATTGGATCATCTCAAAGACCTGTGCTTCAAATGTTTATTTGTGTAGCTGAATGGAGTCTGACTGCCAGAAACATTACATGAAATTGCAGAAGGGGTGCAAGTATCATGAAACAATAACGTCTTATTGAGAAGGTCCACGCAAGGGAGACACTCAGGGAAAGCCCTCCCACCTTCTGAATCTCCTGCTATTCGTGGTTTAAGATGTGCATCGGGAACAGTGTCCCAAAACCGCTAACCCTTGGGAAAGGAACATGGTTTTCTAGAGGAGTGATCCAATCCCTGCTGTGGATGGATACTCCTCAGCCTTGCCACCTCCTGCCCCATCATTTTCCCAGGTGACCAGATCAAACAGCCATGTGGCTGACCTTCTCGGCCCTGGACGCCTCTGCTCCAAGGTTCCTCCTCTGATGCACCTCTGCAGCACCCTCCAACAGCAGGCACTGCATTTTGTTTCCTGTCTTCTCCAGAAACCTCAGCCTGCAGCTCTGCACCTTCGATCCACCTTCCTCTTCCACCCGTCAGTATCCCCAGACTTATTCTTTGATCTCATCGAGACTGCCCCACATCCCTCCCTTTCCCCTAGCTGATGAGCCACTCACCCTCTCTGGCTCCCTTTGCCACCCAGCCAGACCCCAGTGTCTTCAATGAAAGAGGCTGACCACTCCCTAAGCACATGCGTGCGTCCACCCTCATTGGCCTTACACCCTCTCCCAAGAGCTATAACAGAAAAATCACCTGACGGCCCTTGGTTTGTTCAATTCCTATGCAGGCTTCCCATCTTGGTCGGGCCCTCAGTACAGCCCACTCTGCTGTTGAGAGACACTCTTCCCTTGCCCACAAGCAGCTATTCTAGAGTCAGGTCCTCTCCTCAAACCCTTTGCCAAAGCCTCCAATCTACCTAAGACGGAATTTACTGAGTATGAACTCCTCATCATCCCAACCCCAACGATCATGTGCTCCATCCTCCCAACAGTCTAGAGGAAGGCCATCTGTGTATCTTTTTCTAGGCTGATCCTTCTATTTGCCCTCTTGACCCCAGCCCCGACTGCTTCCCTGGGTCCTTGTTCCACCAGTTATCTGTCTACCTCTGGCACCAGCAGTCCATGCATGTCCAGCCACAGGGCTATCCACCCATTAAATGACTTTAAAACATTACCTCCTGATGCTTTTGAAGCCTCTCAAGGGTATTTTTCTCCTGAGAAATGAGGGCTTGAGATTTTGCTCGACAGACTTTCTCAAATTCATTCCGGAATTCAGCTAATTCCTTCTCGTACTTTCTTTTCTCTTCCATTTTAATTTTTGCTATTTCAGTATCCTTAAAATGTTTCAACTGCCAAACGATCACAAATCACTGTTAGTAACAATTACTAAAGAAATAATAAATTCTTTCTCCATGGATAGGTTTAACATTAATGCTCTGTCCAAATATATTACAATCAGTTTAAAATCATGTTTGGTTTTAGCTCAGTCACTGCACCTGTAGGACTGATTCAAACAGCATACAGAAATGGCACCAATTGAAAATGAAAATAATATATGTAACAGTATAGTACACCCCCCCCCATTGCTGTGGAGTTGATGCCAACTCATAGCACCCCTAGAGGACAGAGTAGAACTGCCCCAGATGATTTCCAAGGCTGTCAATCTTTACAGAAGTAAACCCCAAACCAAACTCATTGCCACTGAGTCAATTCCGACTCACAGACCTCCTAGATGACAGGGTAGAACTGCCTGGTAGGGTTTCCAAGGCTGTGATCTTTACAGAAGATCTTTACATATCTTTCTCTTGTGGAGCAGCTGGTGGGTTCAAGCTGCTGAACTTCTGGTTAGCAGAATGTTTTAACCACTGTACCACCAGAGCTCTCAATAGTATAGTAACTTATTCATTAAAAATGCTTCTAGATGTTTTCCCATATACTTAAGATTAAGACATTAAAAGGGAACTAAAATTACCACTCTTACGTAACAGCAAAAAGCTAAAGCTTACCTTTTGAACCATTTCTGCCCGAACTTGCTGTTCTAATTCTCTCTTATATTCATTTAACTTTCTTTCTAAAGATTCTAACTTAGGACGCTGTGAAAAAGCATCTGCAAACTGATCATCAATAAGTCGAAGCTTCTCAGCTATAAACAAACAAACAAACAAACATCAAATTGGGATATGTAAATATGGTCAGATCCACAAGGGCCAGGCAGAATGTATTTAGGAAGTCAATCACAAAAGGACAGATACTGTACGAGACCGCTACTGTCAAAAGTCAAGAAAAGGTTTACATGCAGAAGAAATGTTCTTTGATATCTCCAAGGGGTAGGAGGGAGAACCACTAACCAGACAGTAGACTTGTATTAATTTGAGTGAAAGGTAAGGCAATGTATACTTTTAAAAAAAGTTTATTAAAAATAAAGCAGAGTATATTTAGGGGAAAGTGCAGCAATGTCTGCCATTTACTTTGAAATGCATCCAAAAACTAAGATGGATTCATGGCTGGACAGATAAGCAATGAAGTATAATAAGCATTTTATTATGAGAGATCTAGGTAGCGAGTATGGATGTGCTCACTGTAACATTCTTTCAAAGTTTCTGTATGTCAGAAAATTTTCCTAATAGAATGTTGAGAGGAGAAGAAAGCAAAGAATACATTTAAGTCAAAAAACACTGAAGTCTCTTCCCAGTCTCTCAGGGCACTGAGAGCTCTTTGATTGGACTCTGGTGAGAACTGACTTACACATTCAGAATGCTGATGTGAAAATGAACTCCTTCACTTACAGATGAAGAAACAAATGCTCGTACACCTACATGGCTTCCAGAGGGTTAAGCAGCTACCTGATGGCAAAACTGGGACTGAAACAAGGTTTACTGACTGCTTCTCATTCCAATGTTTTCTGCACTAGGCCAGTGGGCCTCAAGCCAACCATGGAGCAGAATGAACTGTGTGGAGAAATGCAAACTTGGAGCTTGAGTACAACATCAACCACGAGAAACACCAACACCTACCAAAAAGTGTGCACAGAACAAAAAGGAAGGCAGCACATCAAAATATTGACATGTGTCTCTGGCTGGCGTAACTTTAGCTGTGCTTCTCTAATTATTTTTCTGGAGTTTTCAATTGTCTAGAACGGTGCTGACCAATATGGCCGTCTAGCCACTTGTGGCTACTGAGCACTTGAAACGTGGCCAGTCTGAACTGAGACGTACTCTAAGTGCAAAAGACATATCTGATTTCAAAGATTTAGCACAAAAAATAGATGTGTAGTATCTCATTTTTACCCCATTGGACATAAATATGGCAATCTGATTCCATGAAGATCACCGCCTTGGAAACCCTTGGGGACAGATCTACTCTGCCCTATAGGGCTGCTATGAGTTAAAATCAAATTGATGACAATAGGTTACAAGTTGAAATAATATTTTGGATATACTGGCCTAAATAAGATGTATTACTAAAACCCATTTCATCTGTTTTCTTGTTTGCTTTTTCTAATGAAGAAACTTAAAATTACACATACGGCTAGCATGGGACAGCAATGCCCCATAATACACACACACTATGTTTCTCATAGAACAGAACCTACACTTGTCTAAATTAAAGGCCAAATCATACAATAAAGCTTCTACAAATTCTTAACTCCTTAACAGGTAAAGGCACTAGAGCTATTTATTAGTAAGGAAGGGCCATGGAATAGAATAATCACATAAAGCATCCCTTCAACCAGCTGTTTCCCATCTCTATCAAGCAGACGCTAATGGCAAGGCTGGTAGAGAAGAAAGGCCGTACAGTGGAGAATGCTCTGGATCCTGGACCAGAAAATCTAGAGCCTCCTATTAGCCCTGACACAGATGGGCTGTTTCTAAGTTGCTCCTCCTCTGCGACCTTGGCTTCCTCAAGTATAAAATGAAGGGAAGAGCCAATGACATCTCCAGTTCCCTGCAATACAAACAGTCTTAAGATTTTCTAACTTAGTGGTTGTAAAATGAGTTTAGACTAGCCATAAGGAAGAACTGCCCAGTTAGCAGAAGTTAAACACAACAAATAAGGGAGAATTTGGACCTTTGGATCCCTGCTTTGATTTGGAAAATGTAGCCCCAGCACCCACGAGAACAGAAAGCAGGACTGGAGAGCAATTGTGGTGAAATCATGGCCCTCTGCCTTGGTTCTTTGGACAGTTTTGAGGTTTTTTTCCCCTAAGCTCTAGTGAATTTGGTTTTGTTTTTTTTGGAAGCTCTCAGGGGCTACCTTTGTCCTAGTTTTCTACCCCAGAGGGTTTGTTACTTTTATCCAGGTTGATTGACATTTCCTGATTAAGTTGTAAAAACTTGATTTTGATATTTTTTGTCTGGTCCTGACCTGCAGCCCGCTCTGTGATTGGGATGCACCTTGCAGGGACTGGTCAATAGACAATGCAAATGACATGAGTTATAGTCCAGCCCCATTTACTATGCAAATGAAGAATCTGTGACTACCAAGAGGGTTTAGTCAGAGATTAGTCAGATCATGGCCCTGGCGGGAATTCCATGCCTTAAAATTGACAAGGTGTTGTGCATTCAAGCAGCTAGCTCCACAGAGGTTTTTGAGACAGAAAGCAGCAGCAGAAAGAAGAGAAAAGGCAAGGAACCTCCTAAAATAGCTGTAACAGTGGTCAAGGGCTGCAACACAGAAGGCAGCGAGAGCCCCAGAAGGAGCACAGTGGCAGTCAGCGGCAACAGGCATGGAAGGGGCCTAGGGAGGCAGCCACACACAGCAGAGCCAAGAAAATCTGAGAGAGCTCTCCTGCACTGAAGGGAGACTGCCTGTAGCTCCCTCATCCTGACTACTCCCTCATCCCGATTCCTGACTTGTAGCCTGTCGATCCTGATCCCAAGTTGTATCCTATTCTTTAATAAACCACTTAACTGTGAGTATAATCTGTGAGTTTTGGGTGGTCATTGCAACGGATTATTGAACCCAGAAGAGAAGTAGAGTGTGGTGTCAGAATTGGTAACGGTTGAAGAGTGGAGCTATGTGTGACCTCCACCTCGTGGGAATCAGCTTTGTGCTAATGGTGATTCTCATCATCCACCATGAAGTTAAGACAGGTTCTGATGACACTACTATCACCATTCCTACTACCATTTTACAGCAATTCCTGGTTCCTTCCAGCAATATGATTCTGGAGGAAATGAGTTCCTGGCAACTGTAGGTTGCATCCCTCCAGTTCAAAGAACATCCACATGACAGGTAAGTCAGGGACAAGTCTTCAAAGAGAAAACGGGAGAACTGAGATTATGAGAGAAGGCTATAATTACCCAGAGAGTCTTTGTTAGGAAATGTTGGGCTGGTTTGAGTTTCCGTATCACAACTCTCTCTAGTCTGATGATATTCTGCCAACTCTTTTAAAAACTGCATAAGAAAACCTAAAAGATACAACGTATACAATTTCATTTCAGAATATTTTTATTCAGCCATTGCTCACTGTTTATATAATCATGGTTTTATGACATTCTCTATTGTTGCATTATTTAAAAAAAAATAATTTCTGAGGGAAGGCCGTTCCAAATATGACAACACAAAACCTAAAAGCAGTGAGAAACATTTACCAATATCCATACAAATTAAAAGCTTATGTACAGCATGATATAAACAGTCAAAACACAAATGATACACTAGAAAAAATATATGCAATAACATGAAGACAGGGAACTAGTTCTCTTAACATCAAAGAGCTCTTGCAAAACAGTTAAGAAAATAGAAAAAGAGCTAGACAAGCAATCTGAAGAAAAGTATGTCAAATAAACATGAACAAGATCAAAAATAAATGCAAATTAATACACTGAAGAGATCATTATTTCCCTTATAAGATTACTAAGATTAAAACTTTGGAAATACTAAGTGTTAGCAAGGGAGTAGAGAAATAGGCACTCTCATTCACTTGGGAGGGACATTTGTCAGTTTATATATATTCAAAATGCTTATGCCCTTTAGTTACCCTTCAGGTCTGGAACTGAACTCACACCTGTGGCTTCCAGCCAAATAACAGACAGGCATATAGGATGAACATTTACATCACGTAGATACACTCCTTGGAGCGACCAATCATGGGAGAACAGAAGGGCAGTGATTGCACAGGGAGACAGCTGGGGAAGGGAGGCAGGTGTTAGGCCAAAGCAAACCTAAGCCACCAACATTTCAGTTAGCAGCTTCCTCCGGGTGTCAAGCCCTGATGAGACCGCCTGATAAGACAACCCAAGTGACAGAACCCACCCAGACTGGAAAGTCCCATGCAGTGACAAACTTCCTCTTGTGAAGCCCCCTCATGCTAATTAAATACAGACCCATGCTAACAGCTAATTGGACCCCACCATTTCCTTAATGTCCCCACTTAGGTCCTCCACAAGACTATAAACCCTACCCTCCCCAGCCAGGCAACACGACTTCTCGGGCCCCTCTTGGGGACCCATAAACCTCACCCGGAAACTCAGAATAAAAACTACTCTTTAACCTCACTTTTGTGCATCCTCTTCTCCTTACTGTGGCCTTACAGCAGGAACGCATAGGAAGGAAGGGCACAGGGAGGAAGTGGGAAGAGAGCTGTACATTGTGGGGATTGCAGTCAATGTCATGAAACAAAATGTGTATGAACTACTGTATGAAAAATGAATTTGCTCTGTAAACTTTCACCCAAATAACAAAAACTAAAAAAAGAAAAAAAGCATATGCTGTTTAACCTAGCAATTGTACTTCTCTTAATTTCCACAGCTATACTTCCAGAAGAGCACAGAAGTGTGTACATTACACAGTGCTTCAAAAGGCAAAAAAATATACAACCGCTAAATCCTGATCAATAGAGGGCTAATTAAGTATATTCCTTAGAAAGGATCAGTCTAAATATAACCAAAAAAAAAAAAAACCCTCACTGCCGTGGAGTTGGATCTGACTCCTAGCAAACTCTCCCTGGGTTTCCGAGACAGTTATCACTATGGAAGTAGATTGCCCAACCTTCCTCCAGAGGAGTGGCTGGCGGGTTTGAACCACCAGCCTTCTGGTTAGCAGTCAAGTGCCTTAGGCACTATGCTACCAGAGCTCCTCATCTAAATATACTGCTATAGAAAGATACACTGGTGGATTAAAGAAAAAAACTGCACACCAGTATGTATGATAAGATCCCATTTATGAGTATGTATGCTTTAATCGTAGACTTTTATACTCATAAACAAAACTCTGGAAGGATAAACAAGAAACTATTAATGCTGGTTATCAGTAGTGAGCCACTAGAGAAAATGGGTAGAATTTTACATTTTTCTTTCACTTTAAACCCTTTGGGATTGTTCAAACCTTTTTAATAAAAACCGTGAATGTAAATTATGTTCTTAATTTCTTAAAGTTGAAAGGACTCCTACTTTTGCCTAAGCCAAGCTACGGGCCTTTTTTCTTTTCTTCAGAGGATTTAAAAATTCTACTGCCATTGTTTTAGCCTCCTTTCCATACACGGGCACATAAAGCACATGGCTTGCCCTTTGAAAACCGTCACTCCCCAACAATCGCATATGAGCTAACTGGTGACACAGCAGAAGCCTTCGCAGGCAAAAGCCAGTTTGCCTTGGAACAGATTTCTCAATCGCAATGATTTCCCCTCAGAAGGTCAAGGCCAGTGTGATACATGCTTCTTTGGAGATAATTTTTTCATTCCATATGTGTAGAACTTTTAAAATTTTCAACTCTTGTAATAACAAAGTTTAAGAATGTGTCTGTTTGATTTTTGCCTAGATCCAAGGATCCCCCTTCTAATCCATAAATATAAATCTTTCTTCAGCTTGAGGAACTTTTCTTGCACTTAAAAAAGCGAAGTGATTGATCTGCTTTCTTTGCACGGGTTTGCCTTCAGCAACAATTTCCCTGGCTTGGTCGCTACATCCTCCCCCTTCTCTCACATTATTTGTGTCTCTACACTTCTGCGTCTCAGAAGAACGACAGGCCATCTACTTCTGTACTGATACTGCCTCAGAAACACAGAGGGGTCACTATGAGTCGGATCCGACTCGACGGCAGTGAGGTTTGTTTCTTTTTTTAATCCTTCTGCATGCCAGAAAAATGGCTCAAGTCCTGCTAAAAAGCCTTCATCAATGTATCTTCATATCAATACTATTTTCCACTTCCCCTAATGGAGACGTGAAGGAGCCCCAGTGGCACAGTTGTTAAGTGCTCAGCTGCTAACCCAAAGGTGGCAGTTTGAACCCACCCACTGCTCCACAGGAGAAAGATACAGCAGTCTGCTTCCAAGAATACAGCCTTGGAAACCCTACTGGGCAGTTTACTCTGTCGTACAGGGTCACTATGAGTTGGCATCATCTCTACAGCAATGGGTTTCTTTTTTAAAAAAACGTAGATATAATATCGGTTCTTTCATTTTGGTCTGTTTGCAATGCTTTGTCTCATCCATCCTGTCCTTCATCTTTTCAGTTCAGCGTCCCCCTTTCTGCTGTTTTGCTGAGGCCAAGTCTTGTCTTCCCATATGGAAAAGGCCAAACTTTCTGCAGATAACCCTGAAGTAGATGATTTTTGAGATGGACTCTTCCACCTAAGTATTTCTAATGCTGTTATCTTCTCTCAGTTCTGTAGCACTTCCCACCACCCCCTAATTAGTTCCAGTTCCCCTCCACACCCTCCACACACACACACACACACACACACACACACACCCCTTCCTAAGAAGAGTTTGTCTATTTTTTCCCATTTACTTATTAATTCCATCAATCATTTATTTGTATCAGTTTGGATTCATGGTTAGTTTATACTGTTTTAATTTTTTGCTCAAATTGTTCCAGCTTTGGCTATTGGGAGCTTTCAGTATGGTTGTGTGTGTGTGTGTTCACAGCACTTCTTTACTTTCTGGGACTTTAAGATGCTCCAGGATCACCACCTCCATCCTAGAATCAGCCATTTCTGCAAGGAGCCCAGTTTCTTTTTACTGGTGAATGGTATTAGAAACCAAGATGCAAGCACTAGGTGTGCCCACTGCTCCTGGGGTATCATTGCCTTTAGGTCCTCTCAGCTGACAGAGCAAGGAAATACATGTGTATGTACTAACCTGTATATATACACTATCTAAAAAAAAAATTTCTGTACTTCTTGTTGTTGTTGTTATGTGCCATCGAGTCGGCCCCGACTCATAGCGACCACTTCTTGGGTTTCCGAGGCAGTATCACTACGGAAGCAGATTGCCCCATCTTCCTTCTGAGGAGTGGCTGGTGTACTTAGCTGTATTTATATTAAGCTAAACATGAGTTCATACTGATGTCTCCAAGTCTAATACATTACCACATGGATCATTCTAGCTTCCACTTCTTATCTGAAATCTCTCACTCCAACTGTGAAAAACGTAACTCCTACCATCCACCATCTATTTATGTCATTGCTCAATACTAGTAGTCCTGTATAGTGGTTTCAGAATTGTTAACCAGTACCCCCCCATGGGAAACAAATTTATTAACTAGTGTACAGTGCTTATATACAGTTGCTTTTGCTTTTAGTTTTAACAGTTTCTACTCATTTCCAAAGTTAGGTAGCTGAATACCTTTCCCCTACCCCCTTCAATGAAGTTTATTTCATACCTCTGTAATAAGGTTACATTGTTTTGTCAGTCTGCCTTCCATCCTGGAATCACCTGATCTCCTAAATTTGTATACAGTAAGGTTCACTTTTTGTGCTGTAAAGCTCTACGGGTTTTGACCAATGTGTAGTGTCATGTATCCTACTACCACAGTATCATACAGAACTCTTTCACCATGCTAAAAAACTCCCCTGTGCTTCATCTATTAATATCACACAAATACACACACACACACAGCCCAAATCCCTGACCACCACTGATCTATTTACTGCCTCAACAGTTTTGCCTTTTCCCGAATGTCACAGAAATGGAATCATATAGTTATGCAGCCTATTCAGATTGGCTTCTTTCACTTAACAATATCTCCAAATAGTATTCCATTGCATGGATGTACCACAGTTCATCCATTCACCTAATGAAGGACATCTTGTTTGCTTACAGTTTCAGCCCACTGTCAAGTCTAACCCATGGTCTGGAACCACAGTAGTTATGGACTCTTAAAAGCTTACTACCGAGACAAAAATTAAGGAATTTATCAGGCCTGTACAAACATTTAAGAATCAAAACAATTAACAATAGCACTTATAACTAAACATATATTTCAATCTTTCATCAATTATTAATATAATACTCTATATATTGTATTTGAGTGTTCCTTTTTTGGAAATGTTCCAATGGGTATTTTTGCAAAGAGTATTTTTCAATCTGTTTGTAGGGATCTTGATACTGTCTGCAGTTTTATTTGCATTATCTAAGGGTTATTAAAAAGATGGAAATTTGGGGAAAATGATCTATATTTGTCAGAACAGCAGAACAATGGATTGTTTTATTTATTTAAAAGGTAAGTTATTATCAGAAGGAAAATCAAATTGTTTAACTCAAATTAAATTCTCTACTCTTCCCCCTAAAAATTATTAGTTTCATACTTTTGCAGGAATGAATACATGACCATGACCAAAACATTGCTATTCTCTACAAAGGTGAAGGCTCCTACCTTTTTTATTTTCTTGTTCAAATCCTGAAACCTGTTAAAAGAAAATATTTCATCTTTACTCAACTATTCTGTTATAATTAACAAATCAAGCAGGTGAGAAAAACCAAACAGCCCTACCAGTGATTTGTAGAGACTGGATGCAGGGTTGATTTTAATGAGTTGTAATAGATCTTGCATAGTAAATACCTGAAGGCAAAATGAAAAAAAGATTACGTAGACATATTTTCACACCAATGTTTAAATGATAAATTAGGATATGTTTCTGATATGAGCTTAAGAATCATGCTCTAGGTTATATAAAAGATTATAACAATGCTAATAATGCAAAATTGAAGCTCTTTTTAATACTGCTAGATAAATTACAATAAGTATATTGCGATTAAGAAGGTAAAATATTGTCTTAATCACATAATTAACCTACTGTCATTGAGTTGATCCCAACTCACAGTGACCACACAGGACAGAGTAGAACTGTCCCCGTAGGGTTTCTGAGGCCGGAAATCTTTATGGAAGCTGACTGCCACATCTTTCTCCTGTGCAGCAGCTGGTGGGTTCAAACCACCAACCTCTCAGTTAGCAGCCAAACACTTTAACCATTGCACCACCAGGGTTCCTCAACCAAGCTCCAAATATTTCAGATTATATGCCCAACAGAAATTACATAAATGGTTAATGCCTTACAGACGACAGACACTTAAATATCTGATGAACCAATGAATACATAAGTTATTTCCAGAGTCTTTCCACTACAATAAATTTTTTAAAGTACTATTTTGAAATGTAAATAAACTAAATGTTTACTGTCTTTATCACTATCAGTGACTAAAATGGACCTAAAATATTTTAAAACACATTTTGGGTAGTTAGTCGTAGTGATACTGCCTTGGAAACCCAATGAGGGATCACTATGAGTCAGGTCTGACTCAACGGGATATAACAACAAGTCTTAATACATATTTTTCCTACAGTGTGTACCACTTACAATGTCTACCCTGAGAACACTAATATAATTTGTTTTCAACTGGTTTCCTCTGAAGAAAACATTCTGCATGGCATTTTATATTAGTAGAAACCTTTCAATGTGTGAACTGGATTAATTACTGCTATAATCATCATATAATTAACTATTACTCATGTAGCAAGTAAAATTGTGAAATGTAATTTGAAACTTAGAGACTGATGAACCAAAAAGAATTCTTAATGTTGATTTATAAAATTTGGTTGTTAACGAAGATATACAGCATATTTAAATTTTCTGTTTTCATTCAAATACTAATGTTGTTCTTATTTAGGACAAATACTAATGTTGTTCTTATTTATTTAATTATGGATGAAAAAGAGAGAAGAAGGGAAATATACTGTATCTGCCTTTAAGGTAATAAAATGTGACTCTCACGTTCAACTCCATAGGTGGCAGGAAAGGTTTATGTGCTCAGCTGTTAGCCAAAAGGTTGGAGGGTTGAGTCCATCCAGAAGGGCCTTGGAAAAAAGGCCTGGGGATCTACTTCTGAAAAAGAAGCCGTTGAAAACTCCACAGAGCACAGTTCTACTCTGATCCACATGGGGTTGCCATGAGTCACACTCGACAGCATTGGTTTGATGCTTGGTTTTTAATATGTTCAAAGAGTAATGGTGGTGAAATATAGTTAATTAGAAAAGTGGCAAAATATAAAACATCTGTTTTAATACTTGAGAACTTCATAGATTTTTAAAAATTATATATCCCTCACTTCTCTTTTTGTTTTCTATGCATATATAAACCTTTCCTTGATTTTTTACAATAATGAACTAATATAGTACTTGTCCTTCTGTGATCGACTTATTTCACCCAGCATAATGTCCTCCAAGTTCATCCATGTTATGCGGTGTTTTGCAGACTCTACATTACCGTTTAGTGTTGCATAGTATTCCATTGTGTGTATGTACCATAGTTTGGTTATCCATTCTTCTGTTGATGGGCACCTAGGTTGTTTCCATCTTTTTGCTACTGTAAATAGTGCTGCAATGAACATAGGTGTGCACATATCTGTTCTTCTCATGGCTCTCACTTCTTTAGAATATATACCTAGTAATGGGATTGCTGGGTCAAATGCTATTTTTAATTCCAACTTTTTAAGGAATCACCATACTGCTTTCCACAGTGGTTATATCATTTGATAGCCCCATCAGCAGTGTACGAGAGTCCCAATCTCTCCATATCATCACCAGCATTTGTTATTTTCTGTCTTGTTCAACTTTGCTATTAGTGCTAGGGCAAGATGGTATCTCATTGTTTTGATTTACATCTCTCTAAATAGCTAATGATCTTGGAAGGAAGGTTGGGCAATCTACTTCCGTAGTGATACTGCCTCGGAAACCTGAGGAGGGGGCTGACTCGACGGCACATAACAACAACAACAACAACAACTGCCTTGGAAACCCAAGGAGGGGTCACTATGAGTCGGGTCCGACTCAACAACAATAGCTAATGATAGTGAGCATTTCTCCATGCATTTATCGGCTGCCTGAATACGCTCTTTGGCTCACTTCTCTTAAAGGAGCTCTGGTGGCACAGTGGTTAAGACACTCAGCTGTTAACTAAAAGCTCAGTGGTTTTAACCCACCATCCACTCTGCAAGAGAAAGATGAGGTAGTCTGCTTCCGTAAAGACGTGAAGCCTTAGAAATGCTATGGGGCAGTTCTACTCGGCCTTAAAGGGCTGCTATGAGTCAGAAATGACTCGATGGGAGTGGGTTCATTTCTCTTATGGAATCACAAAGAAGGGAACTATCTGAAGAGACTGCAGCATAGTATAAAGGGCACATTTTAGAGATCTGCATTTATTGCCTGCTCTGCCACTTACAGGTTGCATGACCTTGGGCAAGTCACTTTACCTCGAGTCTGGTTCCTCATGTGTAACACATGGAACACCTGCAGCATGCTGCACCGTGCCAAGGCCAGAGAAGACATCTGTTATAATGACAAGCTATGATTCATGTTCAACTATGCAGAACACAAGGTCAATTCCAGCCCCAAACACTCAGTGATTCTGTAAGTCACTATTTTACAAAAGACCAGTTGAGATACCAAGGAACTGTTAACAATCAAATGTATTATCCATTTACTATAACAAGTCAAGTATGGGCAGGGGCAATGTGAATTCAGGGATCAACCAGAAGTGGACACAGCGACTCAAGGAGCACTGGGGAGCACTCTACTATTACCGGACGAAGAAACTGTGCAGAGAACATTCAAAAATGGAAAAGGGAAGACTTTACCTTTTCTTTGGTCAAACCACTTTCTGGAAAGAAAACAGAAAGTGAATATTCATAGCCACATCTTTGTAAGTGATCAGCTACAAGGGTATTGGAAGCGCCGATTAAGAGGGAACTCCCTTCCACTGGAATGGACTGAGGCTTCAGCTTTCCACTCAAAACAGGGTACATCAATTCATGGATTAGCTGGTTTCTGAGTTGTGTCTAGCTCAAAAAGAGGAGGGGAGAAATTGTCAGCAGGATTGTTTCACTAGATACACAGACTGGTCACGTTAATTAGAACCTTCCGTTTGCTTCCTGGCTGGATCTAGATCCACAGCCAAAAGGGAGGACTTTTCCTCTGCCGACTCAGTCTCACCCTGGGAGACAGCAGCCCTGTGGGTTCCAGCCCAAACTCCTTCTCCAGCTTCCAAGTGAACTGGTGGTTAGCCAGAATCGCCATGACCTTCACTTTCCTATGACCTCATTTCAGTAACTTATGATCAGGATAGCAAATATAGGATATAAATCTGGCATTTCATCACATCTTTGTGGTTTGTTGGAGAATATGAAAATAACACTGGGTCAAATCAGTTTATTGGGCATACTGATCAAATAAAGTTGGGTTCCCAAAAGAGAAATAACATCTGCAAGAGAGCAATTAGCAAATCCAAAGGCGACTTATTAAAATGCACTTTCACATATACTATTACAAAACACCTATTGATTCAGGAACCTGTAAGTCGAATTAATAAAACAAGTCTAACTTTACTAAAATTTTATAAATGTTACCCACTCGTAGCTTCATGGCAATTCAATAAATCTAGAACACACTTCTAAAAAGACTCACTCTCTTCAATCTCTTTCAAGAAACTTTGAATTCCAAAGGAGCTCTGGTAGTGATTGCACCAAAGGCTAAAGCACTTGGCTGCTAAGCAAAAGAACAACAGTTCAAACCCACCATTCACTCTGCAAGAGAAAGATGAGGCAATTTTCTTCCCTAAAGACTGACAGCCTCGGGAACCCTACGGGGCAGTTCTACTCTGTCCTCTAGGGTGGCAATGAGTCAGAATCCATGACAGTGGGTTTGGTTTGGGGTTTTATCATTTTAAGATCATAAAAATGTAATTCACCAGGGCAAGCTGCATATCATACATACACACACCACCCACTGTCATGGAGTTGATTTCAACTGATAGCGACCCCCCATTGGGTTTCCAAGGCGGTAAATCTTTAGGGAAGTAGATTGGCCAGTCTTCCTTCTGCGGAGTGGCTGGTGGGTTTGAACTGCCAACCTTATGGCTAGTAGTCAAATTCCTTAGAAACTACGCCACCAGAGCTCCTTAGCTGCATATCATACTGTTTTTAATACCACAAGATCTCGATGACTTCGAATGGAGACTACCTGCTGCAGATTATGCTTGTAAAAGTTATACAACACATATACCTTGAGCGTGTCCAGTATACCCCGATCTTTAAACGTCTGGTACAGCCTTTTGCGCAGCTCATCTTGACTCAACACTTCAGGCTTGGGGGTCATTGGGGACTGGAAGAGAAAACGCGGCGCGGGTTACCTGGTGGGCCGAGGGGCTGGGAATTTCTGAACAAAGGCCATGGCCCCCAAGGAGACTAGAGGCGGTCCCGAAGGAAAAGGAATTTAACTAACATAAACAAAAGGCTTCACTTCCCCCCAGTCCCAAGGAGGGGTGCGATATCTACCTGAGCCTTTAGTTGTGTGGCTCCGCCCGCTCCCGCCCCTTCTGCCCGCGGGAGCCCCAGTTGGAGGCCCAGCCCCGGCTGCAGGCCCGGGTCGCGGGGGGCATCTCGGATCTCAAAGTCCTCCATTTCCCCCGGGGCTGGGAAGCAACTAGGGAACGGAACGTTCTGCTCCACACTTCGAACTAAGAACTCGGACAAAGGTGCGCATTTCCTTTATCTTCCGTTCTCGTGGGTGGGCGGGGTGGTGGCTCAGGCGCGACCCTCAAAGGCAGCTTGTGGGCGGACGGGGGAGAGGATGCAGGAGAGGAATCAGGATAGGGCGTTTTCAACGTTCACACCAGATCCCACCCCTCCCAGCCAGGGGCCCGCCACCGTGAGCGCCTTTGCTTAGAGCGCTACCGCGCATGCGCCTGGCTGCGCTAGTGCGGCAGGAAGAACCTCCCGCATCTCGCGAGGCTTTAATAGCCGAGTCTCGGGTGACAGTTACTAGCGTCCTACCTGAGCCGGCGGAACCCTCGTCTCCGCTGCGAAGTCTAGTTGGGCTTCTTCGCTCTCCCGGTGTTGCTGCAGGTAGGAGTGGAGCGAGAACGGGGGCGGGCGTTTGGCGCTCTGGGATGGGATGTACACAGCCCTGACTAATGGAGGTGGTGGACTTGTCTCTCCATCCCGTCCAGGGGGCAGGCCCTGGGCACCCGGGCTGGGCCCACCCCGCCTCAACCGGCTGTCCCAATGGCAGCTCACTTAGCCAATCTACACGGCGTTCAGCCTGCAAGCGAGCACTTGGTCGTGCAGCTAACCGAGGGTTTCTTAACCGCGCCACTATTGCCATCTGGGGCCGGTGATTCTTTGTTGTAGGGGGCTGTCCTGTGCATCGCAGGATGTTAAGCAGCATCCCTCGTCTCTACCCTCTAGATGACAGTTGTATACCCGAGTTGTGACAACCACAAATGTCTCCAGACATTGTCACATATCCCCTGGAGGGCAAAATGACCCCCTGGTTGAGAACCATTAAGCTACACTTTATATCGAGTACCCATCGTTGTGTGTGCTGTGAGAAAGATAAAGAAAGGTGAGCCCAATCCCCAAGATGCTTAAACCTGTTTAGAAAGAAAAGGAACCAATCTCGTGAGAAGTAACATTGTTATACTACAACTAGAGAGCCGGGTAAAAACTAAGATGCGTCGTAGACTGATTAAAGAATTTGGAAAAAAGAAGTGGTTGAAGATGGAAGTGATCAGGGACATCTCTATGGAAAAAGTGTGGCTTCATCACGACCTCGCTGGGTAGGATTTGCATGGTGGGCAGACAGGAGAGCATGGCAGGAGGGGGAAAGCGAGCAAAGGAGTAAAAAAGGCAGGACCCTCTCAGGGGCAGTGAGCTCCAGAGTGCTGTGGGTAGGAAGTATTTAATTCCTAGGCAGACAGAATTGGGTTAGTGTCTGCTTTGTGCACAGCTAAGGGGAAGAATACATTGAATTTTGATCTCTGGCCCTGGAAACTTAGCATCTTAAAGAGGCAGCTAGAGTGACAGGACATCATGGATGGAGAGCACTGTGGGTTTGTGTTGGGAAATACATGGAGCAGGAGGGACTTGATGAGAACAGCAACTCTAGTGGAGACAGTCAGAGTAAGTTTGGGAGGAAGGAACAAGGACTCCAGTCAACTCTAGCAGAGATGCAACAATGAGAAAAGAAGTGTGGTGCGACGGAGGGATGCGTTCTCCCTACCAGTACATAATCCTGTAGAGGAGGAGCAGTAAGGCTTTGGAACAGAACAGTGAAATGATGAAAACTGTGTTCTGCAAAGATGCTTAGACACTGTTGTTATTGTTGTTGTTATGTGCCGTCGAGTCAGACCTGACTCATAGTGACCCCTCCTTGGGTTTCCGAGGCAGTATCACTATGTAAGTAGATTGTCATACTGTCAGAAACTAGCATCCCTTCTCACTGCCATTGAGTTGATTCCAACTCACAGCACCCCTAGGGGACAGAATAGAATTGCCCCATAGGGTTTCCAAGGCTGTCAATCTTTAGGGAGGCGGACTGCCTCATCTTTCTCCCCAGCCTTTTGGTTAGCAGCTGAATGCTTTAACCACAGGACCACCAGAGCTCCTCACCACTGTTAAAAAGCATCTGTGCCCCAAAATGACCAAAATTACTGATCAGATAAACACTGGCAGAACCCCTGAGACTATGGCCCTGGGTTACCCTTCAGGCCTAGAAATGGACTCATTCCCATGGATTGGCTCTCAGCCCAACAGTAGAAAGACCTACATACAGAACACCTACCACAGAGAGATGCACCCATATACCCTAGGGAGATGCACCCCTTAGATCAATCAGCCATGAGACATCAGAGGGGCAACATTCACATGTAGGGAAAGCTGAACAGACAGGAATGCATGAATAAGAAGGGGATAGGGAAGGGGTAGTCACAGGGAGGACAGGGGAGATCTTTTTATGGTTGGGGATTGTAATCAGGGCTGTGAAATAAAATGCATGAACTGTTGAGAGCAAAACGAATGTGCTTTGTAAATTTGCACCCAAATCACAATAAAAAAATATGAAAAAAGCACCTGTGCCCATTGACCAACCTTTGGTCCCAAAGTCAAATAGAATTAGATGACATGTTTTCCAAAGCTAGCTTAACCTCCCTTGGGGGTGGAGGAGTTGTTTATAATATGAATGGACATTTTTTACATTAGAGAAATATTAATGGTGTTCACATCATTGCAGTGGACGTGTTCCATGCTTAGTATGGCAGCCCCAGGTCTATAAAACAAATGAAACCACTGCTGTCAGAAGCACAGAGCAGTTTTCTGGCTGTTTCTCCCTAGAGGATGTAAAGAGGTTTGGTTGGAAATGGATGGCTTGGGGAGTCTGTGAGTTATCTCTTATGTATCCCTGCAACTTAAAATTCTTGAGTTCAAAGGAACCTCTAAGTTCATTGAGTTCATCCTTCCCTGTCACTGGTAGTCTTCCAGCCTCCCTTAAATACCTCTGGTGATGGGGGGTTGGCTAGAGTAAACCATCTGACACGACAGCGACAGCGTGATGGTTCTTTAACTGTTCGACAGTTTTTAGTTACAGTGAGCCACGTCTTTCCTTGTAACTTCATAGGCCTTGGGTCTGAGTTAGAATCAGGTGGTCTAATCCAGTGATAGCAAATACTTGGATTCATATAGGTACTTCCCCTTCCCCAACCCCTAGCAGACATGCATAATTGATCACAGCAATCTTTCTCTGACTACACTTAGTCCCAGAATCCTCCTGAGCACTGGCTCCTAGCAATCAAAACCAATTGATTACAATTAGCTCAAGAGAAGAAATCCATTTGCGGGCCTAGTCAGATCCCTTTTCCATTACACAGCATCTCATTTAAAGATAGATTGTGCTGTACTGTACTCCCTTGTCACCAAGGGCTTTGTTTTCTCTGTTAAACACTTTCTTGTCTTGTTTCCAGAGTATTCCTTAGCCTAGATCCACTCTTCCCCCTCCTCAGCACACATAGTTCAAGAGTTACTTATCCCTTTAAAATATGATGCCCAGAACTGAGTATCTTCCTCAGAGATATTATTAGTGAGGAGGGCATTGGCACTTTCTCCCTTGCTTGGACACCAGCTTTCTCAATGCAGCCTAGAATTGCCTTTTAAAAAAAAACACCAAACTCATTGCCTGTGGAGTTGACTCAACTTATGGGAGCTCTGGTGGCATAATGCCTAAGGCATTTGCTAACCAGGAGGCTGGCGGGTCATACCCACCAGCCACTCCTCAGAAGGAAGACTGGGCAGTCTACTTCCGTAATGATACTGCCTTGGAAACCCAAGGAGGGGTTGCTATGAGTCAGGACTGACTTGATGGCAGTGAGGTTTTTTTTTTTTTATTGGAGAATTACCGTAGCTCTTTTGACCACCATATCAGACTGCTGCCTCTTATTGAGCGCGCAAATATTAAAGCTTTGGAATCTTACAGATGAATTGCTCTTAAACTAGATTTTCCTCATCCTGTTGTGCAGTTGATTTTTTTAAGCCCAAGTACAGTACTTTATTTTTCATCCTCTTCAATTCTATCTTGTTAATTCTACCTAATTTTCGTAGCTATGGACATATTTTTGAATCCTGACTTTTGTCTTCTAATAAATTAGCTGCCCTTCCTATAGTGTTATCTCTGAATTTGATACATTGTCTTCATCCAAGTTGTTGATTCACATGTTGAGCAGGACAAGGTTAAGTTCAACCTCAAAGCATTATTAGAAACTCCATGTCATAAATGGACATGAAACACTTGGTTAATAAAGTCAGCTATGAGTCATCCCCAACCAACAAAGAGTGCTGACTGTGACCCTGGCACTGTCATAGTCCTGAGGCTACCCCCAATGAATCAGACAGGGCCCTTCTAGCAGGACTCTGTAAGCATGTTTTCATCTGGGTCTCCAGTTTGTTCATAGGTAGATCCCAAAATACTTTGGAAAAGTGACTTACTATCTATCATATTTCTCTTCCAAAAAAGAAAATGTGAGCTTGGCATGATATATTCTCAGTGAAGCCATGGGTACATGAATGAATGATTAATAACCCACTCAATTTTTGTCTAGGGAATCACATTCAGTGAATAATATACCAAAAATATGGCGTCCAACCCCCAATAGGCATTTAATACTTACATCTGTTAGTTCTTTAATCTCTTCAAATGCACCCAATTACAGACTTGGAGATAAGCCTTTTTCCTGTTTCTGGAAATAAAGATCACATTTACCTACCTCCCTTCCTGGGTTTTCTCAAATGTCGTTTCTACCAGTTACCCAAATCCCATTTGTTAGTCCAATATATGTATTTATTGTGACCTAATGAGTTAGAGTTACTGAAATGCTAGATACTTCCTTAATATACCTGTCTGGAGGTTCCTAGCCTGCCTAACCTTGTTTCTTCTATACTTGCAGTTTGACAACCCTTCCCTCTAACAGAGAAAATGGAAAGCAAGCAGTTCTGCATTCTGTCTTCTGCGTGTGACATAAGTGCCCAAAGCACTTGGCCTTTCTCCCCTGCTTTTTACTAACTGGAGCCTAAAAAGGTCTTGGCTTTTCTTCCCATGTTTCCCTGTGTCAGCCCATGTTGGGCCTTTGCCCTTC